TCTTTCTTTAAAGATTTAAAATTTTCATTGTAGAGGTCCTTAATGTCTTTGCTCAGGTTTATTCTGAGATATTTTATTCTTTATTTTTTGCAGCTATTGTGAAGGGGAGTGTTTCCATGTGCTCTTTCTCTGATTGCTTGTTATTGTTATATAGAAAGGCCACAGACTTTTGTAGGGTAATTTTGTAACCTGCCACTTTACTGAACGTTTTAATAATTTCTAGGAGTTTTCTGGTGGAATTTTTGGCGTCTCTTAGATATATCATCTGTAAAAAGGGATAATTTGAACTCTTCTTTTCCAATTATTAGTCCTTTAATTTCTTTCTCTTGTCTTATTTCTCTTGCAAAAGTTTCAAGCACTATGTTAAAGAGGAGTGGAGATAGTGGACAGCCTTGTCTGGTTCCTGATTTCAATGGGAATGCTTCCAGTTTTTCTCCATTTAGAATGATGTTGGCTATGGGTGTGTTATATATGGCTTTAATTGTGTTGAGGTATGTTCCCTCCAGTCCAATTCCCTCTAGGGCTTTGAAGATAAATGCATGTTGAATTGTCAAAGGCCTTCTCTGCATCTACTGAAATGACCATGTGGTTCTTGTCGTTGAGCCCATTTATGTGATTTATGACATTTATTGACTTACGTATATTGAACCATTCCTGCATCTCTGGAATAAAGCCAGCTTGATCATGGTGGATGATCCTTTTGATGTGTGTCTGTATGCAGTTTGCAAGTATTTTATTGAGAATTTTTGCATCTATGTTCATTAAGGATATGGGTCTATAGTTTTCTTTTTTGGTTGTATCTTTACCTGGCTTTGGTATTAGAGTGATGCTGGCTTCATAGAAGTAATTTGGATGTTCTCCCTCCATTTCTATCTTTTTGAATAAATTAAGTAGTATTGGATGTAGATCTTCTTTAAATGTCTGATACCATTTCTATTTTTTTGAATAAATTAAGTAGTATTGGATGTAGATCTTCTTTAAATGTCTGATAGAATTCTGCTGTAAATCCATCTGGTCCTGGGCTTATTTTAGTCGGGAGGTTTTGTATTAGTGTTTCAATTTCTTTTCGCGTTATGGGTCTGTTTAAGGTGTTGATCTCTTCTTGGTTTAGTTTGGGTGGTTCCCATGCCTTTAGATATCCGTCCCTTTCTTTTAGGTTTTCACATTTAGTAGCATATAGGTTTTTAAAGTATTCCCTTATAATGTTCTGTATCTTTTTGGTGTCTGTTGTGATGTTTCCCCTTTCATCTCTGATTTTGTTGATTTGGAGGTGCTCTTTCTTTCTTTTGGTTAATTGGGCTAGTGGTCTGTCAATCTTGTTTATCTTTTCAAAGTACCAGCTCTTGATTCGTTGATTCTTTGTATTGTTTCAATTTCATTAATTTCTGTCTGATTTTTTTTATTTCTTCTTTTTTGGTCTTTTTAAGACAGGGTCTCAGCTGTAGCCCCAGCTGTCCTGGAACTCACTATGTAGACCAGGCTGGCCTTGAACTCACAGAGATCTGCCTGTCTCTGCCTCCCGAGTGCTGGGATTAAAGGCATACGCCACCACACCCAGCTGTTATTTCTTATCTGCTGGATTTGGGTTTCATTTGTTGTTGCTTTTCAAGTGTCTTGAGTTGCAACGTTGTCATTTATTTGTGTTCTTTCAAATTTTTTGATGTAGGCATTTAACACTATAAACTTCCTTCTAAGGACAGCTTTCAGCATGTCCCAGAAGTTTTGTTGTGTTGTATTGTCCTTTTCACTTAATTCCAGGAAATTTCTTTCGTAATTTCTCTTTTGACCCATTCATCATTTAGGAGAGTGTTGTTTAATCTCCATATGTTTATGTGGTGATTAGGGCTTCTTCCAGTGTTGATTGTAAGCTTTAGTGTATTGTGGTCTGATAGAATGCATGGAATTATTTCAATCTTTTTCTATCTGTTGAGATTTGTTTTGTGCCCCCGTATATGGTCGATTTTGGAGACGGCTCCATGGGGTGCTGAGTAGAAAGTATGTTCTTTGGTGCTTGGGTTGAATACTTGGTAGATGTCTGTTAAGTCCATTTGATATATGGTATTAATTCAGATGTCTCTCTGTTAACTCTCTTCCCTACTGACCTATCTAATGGAGACAGTGGGGTATTGAAGTCCCTTACTACTAATCAGTTGGGATTAATCTGGGTCTTAAAGTCCTGTAGTATTGTTTTTATGAAGTTAGGTGCACCAAAGTTTGGTGAATACATGTTCATGACTGTAATATCTCCTTGATTTATTGTCCCTTTGATCAGAATGAAGTGGCCCTCTTTATCTCTTCTGATTAGTTTTAGTTTAAGGTCTATTTTGTCCGATATTAGAATTGCAACACCTGCTTATTTCCCAGTA